AGTCAAGAAGAGTTACCATGATCACAGTTCTATGCCTATTAAAGACGTGGAATTTATAACTAAAAATCTTGTCACAAAGAAAACAGATGGATTTAGTGGTGAATTCTGTTGAACATTTAAGACAGTAAATGTACTAATTGTACACAGACACCTCAAGAAAATTAGGGGGAACTTGAGGGAATAGGTAGGGTTGAGAGACCTGAGGGCGAACAATGGTGACATTGATAGAGACGTATTATACTCATAAATCAACATTTTGAACAAACCTCTCTGTACAACTACTAAAAGATAGTGTTAACAAAGAGAGAGAAAATTAGAGTAGAGGAAGTAACTCACCCCATAATACAATATAGCAAATAAAGACATTACAAGAATTAAAAAAAATCACAAACCTACATCCTCATGAATATAAACATAACACATTCTAGTAGATCACCTTGAAATATAAACATTTCAAAGCTGGGTGAGCATCTAACGTAAGTACTGCTTATGGGTGGTGGTGAAGGTGAAATGGAGCACAGAATCACAGAGCTGGAGCACAGAGCTGGTTTCAAAACCACAGGCTTTGATTATACTCCTCTAGGATTTAGCAGTATCCTCAGAGAAAGAACTCAGAGCAAAAACTGCTGCTTCCCTGTCCCCCAGCCTTAAAGATCATGAGTACCTGCCCCACATTGTTGGAATGTAGCCTGCTTTGCATTATGTTTTTGCTGGCTTAACTAAAGTCCTAGAGGGGAGGAAATTACATTCTCTTGCTCTTCCTCATGTTGGGCAGGAATTTAGTGGGGGCTGATTTGCTTGACTGAATGGAATCTAGGGCGGCTGGCGACATACCAGATGGGTGGACCACATGGGCCCAACTGAAGAGAGTTGGTCTGGACATGTCTTCTGGGTCTGGGAAGGGCAGAGGACAGCTCTGACACACTAAAAGCCACCTACATCCTAGAGCTTTGAAGTAAGAAGGCAAGCTGAGTCCAGTATCAATTCACTTTTTTCACTAGGAAAAATATCAGGGGCAGAAGGTGATGACTGGTCAAAACCAAGTCCTTCTAGAATTCATAATATCCATGATATTACACTTCAGTTCTAAAGTCGTGATGCTAAAATATTATATTTGAGGGATTCCATTAGAATCAGCCAACTCACTCTAGGTGTTTTCAGGTCTGTCATTGATGGAAACCCATCCCACTACACCTGGCCTTTGCTAGCATCTATCCAGACAACTGTCTGTATGAATCTTGAGAAGGAAAACTGAAACTTGGAGAAAGCTTTGGGTGCTGGCATTGTAGCTCAGTGGTATAGCACTTCTTTGGCATTCTTGGGTTCAACTCCTAGCCTGAAAGAGAATGAAGGTTTGGAAGAAAAGGAGGGAGAGCATTAAGTGCCTTTAATCCTAGCTATTCAGGAGGATCAAGGTTTGAAGCTAGCCCAGGAAAAAAGACTAGCAAAAGCCAAGCTAGAGAAGTGGCTCAAGTAGTATCACACCAACCAAATAAATCAAGTAATGAAGCCCTAAGTTTAAGCCTTGAAGGAAGAGAGGGAGGGAAGGAGAGACAGACACAGAGAGAGAGAGAGAGAGAGAGAGAGAGAGAGAGAGAGAGAGAGAGAGAGAGAGAAAGGGAGAATATACAACTTTGGAGACTTCAAGTTTGGTTGACAAACAGACCTATATCCAATTCCCCTGTGTTGCTTCTGTTCCAGGCTCTTCAGAGCAATGCATTTTGAGCCCAAATGTCCTCAGGTAACATGATGATCAAGCCTTTCAGAGCCATCCTTACACAGTATTTAATAAGTGACATGCACTGCTACTTCAGGATAAGGAGAGTTCAGGACCCCCAAGAGTCTGGGAATGTTCTGGTAACACACCAGGTTGCTGTGCATAGGTGGCAGGTTTTTCTCTAAGGAAGCAACTGTTCTGCTGTCTCTTCTTTCACGCTACCCTGAGCACTGCAGGTGCTTCATTGTTTTGCAGAAACCTTCCTGTGCTTAGTCAAAATTGGATTTATTTACAGACCCATATTTAACCAGACCATTCGCCCATATGGTCTCATAGCAACATCTGGTACAGTGGCATGAATAGAAATAAAATTGAAACTTCCTTTCGAATAGAAAGAGAAATGAGTAGAAATAGAAATAGAATAAGGAAAGGACCTTCTCATTTTCTAAGACTCAAGCAGAGCCCAGAGACCCACAGTTCTGTCCTGTACCAGGTGAGTGAGGGGAGCTGAACAAACACAGGCCCAGCTCAGGAGAGAACTGCCATTCTCTCTCCATTCATGTTCTTCGACCTCGTTGTGGCCCAGTATGGCCTGGGAACCCTTCACTCCTCAGCCTTACTCACTCCCCCGACTCTTCCTCAGTGACAATTTCAAACCTTTGCTAGAAACTCCCCTAACTAAAACCTCTTTCATGTTGACTATTTTCATAGCCCACGTAGACCTATTCATATAGCACATAAAGTGCATGCATATATAAACACACAAGTAATCCCACTAAAAGTGTTAGTTGTAGAGTACTGTGTTCACACAGGTTCCATCCCCTGCTCTGGAGAAAAACAAAGCAAAAATAAATTAAAATGTGCTATTGTAGTGTCTTAAATCACCTAGAAAGCAAAGAGTGAGTAATATATTATTGTTACCTTAACTTCTATAACCGCTATTACTTCTATTCCTGCTATAATTTCTATTTCTTTCTATGGTTTTGAGTTACTGCTTAGACTTTCATTTCAATCTGATGGATGTACTTTTGCATTTCTTAATGAATTCCTTGTGAATGCCAAGCAAGGAGAACTAGTATTAATGAGCTGTTTCAATTTCATTTATATAAGATGTCTTGATTTCTCTCTCATCTATGAAAAACAGATTTGCAGATACAATGGTTGAAAGTTACAGTTTATATCTGAGAACTTTGGATAATACTAGCTCTTTCCCTTCTGGCACACCAAATTTCTGATGATAAACATACTAGGAATGTTATTCAGGATACCTCATAGATAATGAGTCCCTTTTCTCTTAATGTTTTCAAAATTCACTGTTGTGGGTTTTTTTAAAATTATAACACACTTTAGTGTGATCTTTTGCTTTGTTTTATTTTGTTGAGCTTGTGTCTTTCCTTAAATTTGGAAAATTCTTGGTCATTATTTTTTAAAATATTCTCTCTGTCCTTTTGTATCTCATTTGCTCTGAGACATGATGCTCCACTGAGCCCTTAGGCTCTGTTTACTTTGCTTCAGACTTTATGATTTCCATAATCCTACCTCTAATTCAGATTTTCTCTTCTGCACGATCAAATCTGCCTTTGGATTCCCCTTGTCCTTTCTGCTTTCTTTTTAGGTTTTGGGGCTTCTTTATTGATATTTCCACTTTGTTCATATCATTTTCTTGACTTTCTCTATGCCTTCCTTTAGTTTTTTGAGCATTTTAGGAAAGTTGTTTTAGTGTGATCTAATAGATGTGTCATCAGCTCTTTTTCAGAGGCAGTTTCTATTGATTTACTTATTTTTTTCCTGTGAACAGGCCATACTACAATGTTTCTTTGTATACCTTGTGGCCTCTACCACTTGAGTTACATTTCCACTTCTGGCATTTTGCTGGTTAATTGGAGATTTAAAAAAAAATCTCTTGAATTTCTCTGTGCTGGCTTCAAACTGAAATCTGAGGATTTAACCCTCCTGAGTAGCTAGGATTACAGGTGTGAGCCACGGTGTCCAGCTGAGATAGGGTCTTACCAATTGTCTAGGGTAGCCTGGAACTTATGGGTTCTAGCAACCCACTTGACCCAGCCTTCAGAGTAATGGGCTACTGGGGTCCACCTTGCCCAGATATCATACAACTTTCGATATGCATATAGTCCGGGCTTTTTTTCACTAATCAAATCTGCTAACAATTTTCTGGCAAGAAAAAGTATTTTTCAAGTCTCTAGCCTGGCATGGTAAGGCACAATTCTGGTTACTTGAAAGTTAGAAACAAGAGAACAGAAGTTCAAGGCTAGCCTAGTCAAAAGTAGTAAAACTTTATTTCAAAACCAAGCTGGGTGTAGTCACCCATACCCATGGTCCCAGTTACTCAAATGGCAGTAATGGGAAGAATGTAGTTCAAAACTAAATTAGTCAAAGTTAGAATGAGACCCTACCTTAAAAACAAGCTACCTTAAAACATGACATGGTTTAAGTGCTAGAGTGTTTGCCTAGCAAGTAATGCACCTTGAGTTCAACCTACATTACCACAAAAAAGCAAAACAAAAATATTTATCAAGTTTCTGTTGACAAAGAAACTAGCATGTGCTACTTAAAAATACTTCTGAAAACTAATTTTGTTTGTGTGTGTGTGTATGTATGTGTGAGAGAGAGAGAGACAGAGAGAGAGAGAGTGCTGATTCTAGGGCTTGAACTCAGGGCCTGGCTGCTGTCCTTTAGCTATTCTACTGAAGGCTGGTGCTCTACCACTTGAGTCAAGCTCCATTTCTAGCTCTTAGGTGGTTAATTGGAGATAAGATTCTCACAGACTTTTCTGCCAAAGCTATCTTTAAAATCCTCAGTAGCCTTATTAGTACCTAGGATTTCAGGTATGAACCCCTGGCAAATAATGGGTGATGGTGTCTTATGACCCTTGTATGTTGGTTTACAACCCACACAGTATACTCCCACATGTACCTTCTTGTTTATTTCCCACAGTAGTTGTCCCTCCTCCCTGGATGTCCTCTGCTTTTCTCCTTCATGAAACTTCCAGGTATGACCTCACAACTGAATGGATGGCAGGACTCTGCTTTCCTGTGCCTATGGACTCCATCAATACAGACTAATATTATAGGGTTCTTAATGAGTACATGATAAGATTGGGTCATGGAATCATAATATCCTTTTCCAATGATGAATCAAGATTGCAGGAAAATCAAAAGACTTAACAAGCTAGTAGCTTTTCTATGTTCCTAGTAGATACATTGTTGGAGCTCACATTTTTGGTCCTCCTGTCAATTCCATATCTGCACAGAAGACATTTTACCTGGGAGTTCATCAGGCGAATGGTTGTTTTCGTGCCCACATCTTGTTGGAAGTTGGCTGTGGGTGCCCCATTAAACCTCAGAACTGCATCGTGATCATCTATAAACCACAAGGAAATAGAACAGAGGTGATGAGTGCTAGCAGTGTGCAGGAAGAGAGAAGGACAGAAGGAAGAAAAGGTGGGAGGAAGGGGAGGGGGGTGTGACAGCCATTATTACAGACTTCATTCCATTATGACACATAGAAAGCAAGGAATTATAATATTTGTGTGTTACTCGGGAAAAGTTCACAGACAGAAATGATCACTGTCTGCCAGCTACTATAAAGGAACAGGAATTTATATTATGCATTCATGAAACCCATTCAATACATCAACACAGCAAAAAGTGAGCCATACCAGATGCTTATATGCCTAATCCTAGCTACACGGGAGGCTGAAATCTGAAGATTAGGTTCAAAGCCAGCCCAGGAAGGAAGGTCTGTGAGACTCTTATCTCCAATTAACCACCAAAAAGGCAGAAGTGGAGCTGTTATGGCAGAGTGCTAGCCTTGAGTGAAAGAGTTACAGGACAGCATGCAGTACTGGTCCCAGTACTGGCTCAGCAGCCAGTATTCTGAGTTAACGCTCCAGTACTGGCTACCAGTGTGCCAGTTCAGTGGAATCACTGCTCCAGATATCAAAACTCTTTAGGTGTCACCTCAAGATCATGTCTATTCATGTCAGAGAAATGAAGGAACTCCATCTGTGCCAGAAGTGCAAAGTACCTGAGGCACTTTGAAAAATACATACCACTCAAGCCACAGATGGGACTCACCATCATCCAGGATAACGCCTAAGTGTTCCATTTAGGAACCTGAGGCCCAGCTAAGGAACACAAAAATCTGATGTGGCGGGCTGGGAAGGTGGCTCAGTGGTAGAGCGCTTGCCTTGCATGCATGAGGTCCTGGGTTCGATTCCTCAGCACCACATAAGCAGAAAAGGCTAGAAGTGGAACTGTGGCTCAAGTGGTAGAGCGCTAGCCTTGAGCTGAAGAGCTGAGGGACAGCGCCCAGGCCCAGAGTTCAGGCCCCATGATCAGACCAAAAAAAAAAAAAAATCTGATGTGGCAAAAATGACACAGGAATCCATAATACTTAACTAAACTCCATGACTTTTGCCGTTTTTATTAAAGCACTTTGCCAGACACATGATGAGGTATTAAATTCAATCAGGATCAAATACACCATCTCAAAAACACCTAATTACTTCCTAGAACATATCTCCTTGTAATTCCTCTTTAAGCAGTGTTTGGAAGAGTTAGCAAAGGTTCTGCATTGAGCATTTGCCATTCTGATGGGGGAGGGAAGTGATGGCTTTTAGGAACCAACCTAACCCAGTGCCTCTGTAACCCTACACAAGCTTATCCCAGCCTTTCTTCATCAAACAGTTTAGGTTCACCAGCAAAATCTGTACCAGGTTGGAGGCCAATCTAACCATCCTCCCTATGTGAGGGCTTGTTTGGGATATCATGCAGGACAAAAGACATTGGGTTCAATACATAATGACCTGGAAAGGAGATGCCTATAGAATGAAGGCATGAAAAACCCCTTCTTTATCTCCATTCCAACATAGGTATTAAACTATAACCTCTGGCATCTCATTACAGCCACTGCAAAGTCCTCTCCTCAATCTGATGACAAATCACTGAAATGGACTATCACTGAAATGGTTTAAGAGTTACATAGTCCAAATCTTATCAGCTTCCAGGGCAGGCACACTGAAGTGCAAATAGGACAAAAAGTACATCGTTACACAACTCAAAACAGCAACTAGCTTTGTGAGAATCAGCCAGTGGTTTCAACAGTGATCAATTGAACACACAGGAGAAATGAAGATCCATTAGACACTGTGCTCAGTCAACTTTACAGATGAATTCATTATGGGTGAGAACCCATAGAAAGGAAGTAATCATTTCATAAAAGGGCTCTTTATAAAGCAGAGTTTATGGAAACAGCACAGCATAGCTAACACCAGGACTGGCTGCTATGAGAAGCCACAACTGGCCCCAAGTGTGCCCTGCATGAGGAGCAGAGACCCTGAGTTGAAAAGGGCAAATATCAGGAGCTGAAGAGAAACACAGCTATTGCTACTGTCCAGCCAGCAAGACAGGGGCAAACAGAATCCATACCTGAACCTCATCCTCTATCCCTTCAATCCCACAGGAAAAATGAGAGAACCGAGCACAGAGACTGATGGAAGAATGCCTTACAGGGCCTGAGCTTTTCAGTCAAGGGAAAGCTACTAAGGCTACCTGCAGGGAGATTCCCAGAAAAATGTACTGAAGTTAGCTGTTCTTTTAACCACTACAACAGTCTTATACAGTGGCTAAGATAATCACCCCCATTTTGCTCATGACCTAATTATGGAGAGTCAATAGATTTTCACATCTGGTTGAGAGCACACTAGAGCTTGAAAGCATTCCTTTGACTCAAAGGAGTCTGTGCTTAGCCCCTCTGCTCTTATGATTTGTAGCTTCATATTAAAATTTGGTTGAAGTTGGGTGCCATTTTCCTCCTTCTCAGCTTCTATTGGCCAGTGCCAAGTAGAAGCCAGAAGGCAAGGAATACCTACTGAAATGGTCCAAATTCAGGGAACAGGGCCAGATGGAAAAGGGTGGGGGAGTAGCAGGTAGGTTTGGAGGAGTAAATGGAGAACATTTGGCACAAAAAGACTTGGATAAGCCCAGGTACCGGTGGTTTATGCCATAATCCTAGCTACTCAGGAGGGTGAGATCTGGAGGTTGCAGTTCAGACCAGCATGGGCAGACAAATATAAGATTCTTATATAGTATTAACCAGCAAAAAGTCAAACTAGAGGCATGGGTCCAGTGGTAGAACACCAGCCATTAGCAAAAAATGGAGTGACAGTTGGAGGCCCTGAGTTCTAACCCCATTACTGTGACACATCCACACAGGAGAGGAGAATCAATCATTTTGTTCATTCAGCAAATATTAATTAATACCTGCTCTCTGCCAAGGAGAGAGCTCTAGGTATTTGACACATTGGTGTGTAAGCAAGAAAGACAAAGTCTTTGGCCTCAGAGAGCTCATATTCTAGATCATGGAGAGGCAACAAGTAATATTTTAACTTATGTATAAAAGTAACTATGAGAGAGCAAGGTAAGAGTTAACATTGTACAAAAGGAAATGCATTAATTACCTGGCTTATGTCACTGTAACCCCTCTGTACATCACCTTTATAATAACAATTTTTTAAAAATAAAAAGGAAATGTACTCTTTAACTGACTTATGTCACTGTAACCCCTTTGTACATCACCTTTAATAACAATTAAAAAATACTTACAGATTGCGTTTAACACCATGACACACAAAAACCAGGTCATGTGACAGAGACAATGAAGAACTCTCCTCTTGATGGTGTGATGATTTAAAAAAGGCTTTGGAGCTGAGACTCAAACGATAGCTAGGCACAGAAAGGGCCCAGAGCAGTACATTCCAACCACAGGGCACAGCCAGTGTAAAGATCACAAGGGCAGGGATGTGGCAGAAGACAATGAGGATCATTTGTAATGCTCAAACACGTTCTGCTCTTTTCCCTGTTTGGCCTTTGCTTATTACCTTTGCCTCGCTCTGAAAAGCAACAAAGAATTAGTCCAACCAAAATTTTTTGTGGGTGCCAGTACTGGGGCTTGAACTCAGTGCCTGAGCACTATCCCTAACCCGTTTCAATCAAGGCTGGAGCTTTGCCATTTAAGCCATACCTCTACTTCTGGCTTTTTGGTGATTAACTAAATGTCTTCCCTGCCTGGGCTGGTTTTGAGCTGAGATCCTCAGACCTTAGCCTCCTGGGTAGCTAGGATTACAAGCATGAGCCACTGGCACCCAACTTCAACCAAATTTTAATATGAAGCTACAAATCATAAGAGCAAAGGGGCTAAGCACAGACTCCTTGGAGTCAAAGGAATGCTTTCAAGCTCTAGTGTGCTCTCAACCAGATGTGAAAATCTACTGACTCTCCATAATTAGGTCATGAGCAAAATGGGGGTGATTATCTTAGCCACTTTATAAGACTGTTGTAGTGGTTAAAAGAACAGCTAAGTTTGGTACACAGCGGCACACAAACGTTACTTCTATTGGTGATAGTATTTTTAAATGTTATTTGTTGGCAATCTCATGTCAAACAAATCTAAGATATTTCAGTTTCCATGCATAAATAAGCTATAAGACTGAATGAAAAATTATGGAGTCTACCATGGGCTGATTTATGGCACTGTTGGAAGCAAAGGACATTATACAATCTCTCTAGTGAATAACCTTGCTGTGGGTGGGGAAATGAACATAAAAGTTATTTGGATATTCTAACCCTAACCATGAGGCTATTTTGTCATTGGGAAGCAGTAACAGTCTCTTGAATTCTCTGTACAGAAAACTTTTTAGAGATATTATTTGTAAGACTAAACAATTTGAAGTCATCTAACACATCCAATAGTTGGGAACAGACTCAACAAATTCTGAACATTATATATCTGGCTCTTTTCCTAAGTCACAATTTTGTATTTTGATTAACTCATGAATGAATACAAAGAATAAATGGATTGATGCCTTAAATATTTGTTAGGTGAAATGCCCAGAGTAGTACACCCTAGATTTGAAGACTGAAATGTAATTTTTATTACATCTTGGACCAAAGTCCTTATACAGTATTCATTTGAAGTTGTAACTGTGGTCTATAGAAAAAGATACTTTTGGGGGCTGTGGATATAGCTCAAGTAGAAGAGCACTTGCCTTGCAAGTCCAAGTCTCTGAGTTCAAACCCCAGCACCACCCAAAAAAAACAAAAACAAAAACAAAAAGATACTTTTGAAAAGTCATTTCCCTGTGATTTTGATTTGCATTTCCGTAATGCCTAAGGCTGAACATCTTTTCTATATGACCATTTGTTTTAGTTTTTTGGAAAAATGTTCACTCAACTCATTTGTCTATCTTAAAATGAGATTCTTTGTCTTATTATTGTTGAATTATAAGAGTTTTTTAGACAAGTGCCAGTGGTTCATACTTGTAATCCTAGCTACTCAGGAGGCTGAGATCTGAGGATCCTGGTTCAAAGACAGCCCTGGCAGGAAAGTCTGTGCCACTTGTATCTTCACTTAACCACCAAAAAGCCAAATGTGGAACTGGAGCTCAAATGGTAAAGCACTAGACATGCAAAAAAGCAAAAAGATAGTGCCCAGGATCTGAGTTCAAGCCCAATACTGGCTTAAAAATAAGAGTTCCTTTTAAACATTACATAAAATGATTTTAAACATTACATAAAAATGATTTTTAAAAATCCAAATGTAAAAGAAAGGAAAAGGTATTTTAATTAATGTTTATTTAAGTCACTCAAACTAGTTTGGATTTTTGTTTGATTTTTTCTTGTTGTTTTTGAGATAGAATCTCCACCTGTAGCCAGACTGGACTTGAACTCAGTATTATCCTGCCTTTGCTTTTAAGAAGTACATGAAAAACAAAGCTATAGTGCCAATTCTCAAAGAGATACAACTTTTTCTCAAACTTAAACAATTTCTGCACCACAGACAATGATGACTTGAATAAAAAGGTTTATTTAATACTTGGAATCTCCTAAAGACGATCTCATTTTGTACCAAAACAACTAAACAAATGGGAGAGACCAAAAACCTGGTTATATTATAGATGAACAGAAACCAGTAACATTTAGTTTCTCAAAAACAAAGACCAAAAGAAACAAAAAAGCAAAAGTCAAATTAGGTTGGGGCCAGACATTTGGCAGCCTTCATTAGTAAGTGGTGCCTATTGGGGAGGGACAAAGTGTGATCTCACCACTTCTTTCTGTGCTAGAAAATCCAATTTGGGTCTTACATTTCTTCTTCAAGCCTGTGCTTGGATCCAGACCATTTTTCCTGGCAGTCATAGGAAAGAAATAAAAAAGGAGACATATGACCTCACCTGCTCCAGTACCTCCAGCCTGACAGAAAAGCAAAGCTTCCTTTGGTTTCTTTATAGCTTGATTCCTTTCACAATGACAAAAAATATTTTCTCTCAAAATAAGAGAAGTAAAGGGCCTTAGACAAATCAGTAGCTCTCTGCTATGTAGGCTTGCCAATATCGATAAGCATTCATTAGCCGCTAAAGGATTCTAAGAAAGACAAGCTGATATATTTTGACCAATGACTTAAACTATGGGGAGGGGTGCAGTATTCATAGATCCCTCTGAAAATCAACTGTAACCTATGGATTTTCTCACTGGCAAAATCCACAGACAAGTTTCCAGGTACATTATACACACCAACCCACGGGAACTTCTGGGTGCAATTTTAGGGATCAAAACCCCCTAAAGTTGGTCCATAGTCCCCAAATTAAAAAATAAACCTGCTCTAATTATTTCTTAAAGAGCACTGGGTTCATGCCTGTAATCCTAGCTATCCAGGAGGCTGAGATCTGAGGATTGTGGTTTGAAGCCAGCCATGGTAGGAAAGTGCATGGGACTTTCAGCAAAACGCTGAAAGTGAAGCTGTGGCTCAAGTAGTAGAGCATTAGCATTGAGCATAAAAGCTCAGAAATGGTGCCAAGGCCCTGAGTTCAAGCCCAGGGACTGGCACAGGAAGGGAGAGAGAGAGGGGGGAAGAGAGAGAGGGGGGAGAGAGGGAAAGAGGGAGAGAGGGAGAAGGAGAGAGGGAGAGAGGGAGAGAGATCTGCAAACTACCCATGTTATTGAAATCCGAAGAGTTGATATGTTTTAGGTAAGACAACAGAATTTTAGAGCCTAAAAGTAAGGTATAGAGCTATGCTTCAAATACTTTCAAAGATCAGCTGCAGTGTTTCTACTCTTGGGTAGTGGCTGAACTGTCTTTTTCAAATTAAATACTGCAGAACACCAATATATGAAACAGATCAAATAAAGCCATTGTAGTGATGAAGATCCTGGGGCCTGGATCCCCATCCTCACAACTCTGCTCATGACACTTCTCACTGTTAAGAGACTTGAATACACTGCCTTGGTCCGGCTCCTCCGACTCACTGAGCCACCTTTGGGATCTCTTCTCCAAGATCGTTCAAGACACCCAGTCTTCACATACCTATCTCTCGGCCCAGCTGGGAAGACTTCAAGGATCCTGCTGATGAAACAACAGCACACCTGCTCCATGGCCCAGCCTTGGTCCGAATGTTCTCCTTGGGCAGGAAACCCTCCCATTCAGAAGTATTGAAGGGAAAATCTGTAGACTCTACCATGGATACGTTCACATGGTCCCGAAGATGGCAGCGCAGGGCCTCTGCACTGAACTTGACACCTGGCCCTGGCCCCTTGTAGGACACCTTGTACTTGTTCATAGTCAGGTAGTTCTTCCAGATCTTTTGCAGCCTGGGGATAAGGTTTTTGGATGAGCTGTCTTTGTTCCACACCTGGTAGGAGGCCTGTGGTTTGGCCTTGGCTGGGACTCTTGCACTGCTGAAGGCCTGGCTTCCCTTGTGGGGGTCCTGAGTGCCACTTGAGGAGACAGACTGGGGACTAGACCCCATGGCCAGTTTCTCAAAGTTCCTCAACACCTGTAATTCCTTGGCTTGCAACTTAAGGGAATCATAATAACCCCCTTTCTTCCTTTCCTTCCACACACAAATGACTGCAAACAGAAGAAAGGCCAGGACACAATAACTAAATTTTTTCTTCAAGTTGGTGTGGATCATAATGAAAGATGTATTCCAGAATCTGAGCAGGAAAACAAGCCTACAAAAAAAACAAAAACAGACAAGACAAAAAAAGTGATGGAAAGGACATCCAAAAGTGGCAAGCCATAGGGTAGATAGGCTTAAGCAGGAGATTGAGAGCAAGCAGACTTAAATCTGGGCCCTGATCTACCTTCCACCAACTGTTGAGCACATCCTGAAAAAACAAAACCTCAGCCATCGTGTGGCTTTGAACATAGATCATATTCCCCCAGGCACTCCTTCTTCCCTCCTCAGCTCTGAACACTTTATGTCTTTCTCTTTATTTATTTTTATTATTTGTTTGTTTGTTGGTGCTTGAACTCAAGGCCTAAGAGGTGTTCCTGTGCTTTTTGTTTGCTCAAGACTGGCACTCTACCACTTGAGCCAAAGCTCTACTTTGGGTTTTTGGTAGTTAGAGATAAGAGTCTCACAGACTTCACTGCCCAGGCTCTCTTTGAACTGTCGTCCTCAGATCTCAGCTTCCTGAGTATCTTGGTATGCTTACAGGTGTGAGACACTGGCCCCTGCTTTTCTCCCATTACTTTTTGTACTCTGAGTTTCTAGTTGCCTTGGTCTAGGTCCTGCAAGAAGTGTTGAGGTCAGGAAATATTTTATATATCAATGCATTCATAGAGTGTTGGACTGTGTTAAATAAAGGCATGCATACTTCTAATAATATAAAACAAAAGGGATCAGCCGGCCAACTATACTATATCACAAAACCCAGATTCTTTAAAATCTTAAACCATTTACAACAGTCAGAAGTTATAGATTTGTAATGTGCCTCTCTATGGACTGTGATGTTAGAATTGTGCCAAGAATAGCTTCACAATGTAACACTCAGTTTTGTGTCATGCACCACAACCAAACCACTCTTCAGACAAAGAGCTTGCTCACCTCATAACAAAGGATGGGAAATCTTGGGCAGGTATCTGGACAGCAGACATGTGGCCAATTGAAGAAATGAAAATACACACTTATTAAACCCATGAGATGTTCTTTCATTTAATTTCACCAAAATCAGGGTCAGTGTCATACATAACTCCAGAGAAGCACATGCATCTCATAGAGTAACTTAAAAAGCATCTCCTAGGCTGTTCAGAGGAGTCTGAAAATCACTATGATGATGGTGCTAGATCTCCATTTTTACAGATTTGCAACCTGAGGCTTTAAGGAATTAAGGAAAGTGCTCAGGATCACAGAGCTCAGGAAATACTTGCCCTGAGGTTCAAATCCAAATGCGCTTGAATCCCCAGTCAAGTCCTTTTTACTATACCACACACAGAACTATTGAAAGTTCTGGAAAGTTCTCTTTACTAAACAAATAGAGCTAAATAATCCCACTTTATATCTGGGTATGTATCTACTTTGTTCCCTCAGAATTCACCGGGTAATTAATGGAAAATGGAAGCCCTTTGAACTCAAACATTATGTCTTTATCTTTTGGAAATCATTAAATTCTTTCCTCAGTCGCTGGGTTTGCTTACCAAAGAGTAAAATCAATTGCCCCTGGAATTTTTCTAACCTACTAGGAGTCTGAAGTACTTTCCCGTGAAGCCGTGGCTATTAGGGATAAGGTGGTAGACATTTTCCATTGGGTATGAAAACTGGGTTTGTGTCCCCCATGCTTGGTGACCCTTGGGCAAGTGAATATCTCTGCCTCTAAATTTCTATAGGATGATAACTTCTGCCTATTCCATTCATAGAGTGCTGGGAAGACCACACAGAGGATATGTTAACTGACTTGGAATGAGCTAAAAACAAAGTAAGGGGAGGAATTTTAAAGAGACTCCGTAGAGCAGCCCTTTGGCAAGAGGGGCATATGTGGGTGACATCGGTCAGTGAAAGATGGCAGAGTAGACCACTGGTTGTGACTTACCAGCCTGAGAGGGAGCCTCTTTATCTGAGAATCTTTAATTGAATAACAACTGGATCTCTCTTGGTACCCACTGGCATTACCAACTAGAGCAGTATTTTCTACTATTCCAGATCTTAGGAACCAGTAGTGGGCGATAGGGAACAAAAGCTTTGGACATCCTCTGTACACAGAAGACAATATTTCTTCTTCTGTTTGTTGTTGTTAGTTGTTTTGTGTCTGGTGTCGTGTGTGTGTGTGTGTGTGTGTGTGTGTGTGTGTGTGTGTACATGCCAATATTGGAGCTTGAACTCTGAGTCTCAACTTCCACTTAGTTTTTTTTTTGCTCACACTGTCACTCTACCACTTGAGTCACTCCTCCTGTTTCAGCTTTTTGCTGGTTAATTGTCTCACAAATTCACCTGCCTGGGCAGACTTCAAATTGTGATCTTCAGTTCTCAGCCTCCTGAATAGCTAGGATGATAAGTATCAGCCACCAGTATACAGCTAGAAGACATTATTTTTGAACAACAGATAAAGGGCTTGTTGCATTGTCAAAAACATGCAACATAACTAACCACACGATCATGTAAGTATCTCAAGAACAATTAGAGAAGAAATAGAATTTAAGATCTTACTGCACTTTACTCCAATTTATCATTGATTTATTTTTACTGTTGCACTATGAAGTAGATAATCACAATTCTGTGTTAAAAATGAAGAGGTCAGGTCTTATCAGGACAGGCTTCTGTAATGCCAGTAGCTCATCAATGATGCCATAACCAGGATTACAAACCCAGGTATATCTAACTCTGAAAGTTCACAGTCTTGCCATTGGAAAACAGAAAGCTAGCACTGGGACAATGAAAAGTCAGTGCCAACCATCAGGACTCAGAAGTCAGGAAGCCTAGAAAGGCAGCTCAGTTGATCAATTACAGAAAAAGCACTTCGAGCATGTACAGTAGACTGATGGGCACTGGTGGGCACCCTGAACCACTCAGGAACCCTTTTCCATTAGCAAAGTTTATAAAAGCCAGAATAACACTGATAGATAAGCAGGCGAGATTTTTATGAGCTCCATTTATAGCTGAGCCAAATGAGGTTTTAGAAATACAAGCAATTTAAAAAGTAGTATGGGTGATTCTGAAATGGTGGGTTTCTAACTTGCCTTTTACGCCTATCAGTGAAAGGAAATGGAAGGGAGGGGCTTGATTCACCCCCTTGGGACCCGAGGTTCAGTGGAGGCTCATATTAGCTTTTCCTGCATTCTCAGGAGGGAGCAGTTCCCACACATACAAACAGGCCCAACTACAGTCCTGTTACATCTCACGTTTCAGTCATGGCCCCACAGCACTCATCTGAAACTTGACATCAGGGCTCAAGTGGGCCTTCAGCTGAACCCTCTATGAGGTTCCAAAACCACAGGCTAGGTGGAGTCTCTGGTCATAGACACTTAGTACTTCAGGACCCTTTCTCACTTCTTAAGTGATCCTAATAAGACAGGGACAGGAGAAACTTTATCTTAAGAGCCCAACCAACAGAAGAGCGTAAGCAACTTCTCTCCACAGAGTCTTTGGAAAAATTCACCATATCAGTTTTGAATATTCCGATGGCAATCGACTGTCTCTGAAGCTACCTTCTAAACTGGTGCATTCTCTGTCCTTATCTACCATGGGAGCTCACCCCCATGTCAGCCTGTGCTAGTCCGGCTCCCAGCTGCTTGTATTGCTCTCTAAAGCTTGCTTTGTGTGCTGACTCTTCTGCTAGAGGAGAACTTCTGGCATCGTTTCTGAATAACAGGACCTAGCACAGTATCTGGAACAGAGCACTGCCCAATAAACCACTGATGATGCTGATCAAGAAGCAATGTACTCATAAACGGACAATGAACTGAAACTCCTGTGTACAATTACTTAAAGAAGAAAAAAATTGCTGAACTAAGCTGGATGCTAGCAGCTCAAATCTGTAATCCTAGGTACTCAGAAAACTGAGATTTGAAAATCATGTTCAAAGCCAACTGGGACAGCTAAATTTAAGAGTCCTCTCCCCAATTAACCACCCAAAAACCACCAGTGGAAGTGGGGCTCAAATGGTAGAATAGGCTTCTACCTACCAACTCCCACTATTACCAAAGATACTTCTTGACCCTGAACCAGCAGAAAGAAAAGCTCAAAGTAAGGAATTCTGCCCTGATCTGCTCATCCTGACTTGCTCAGTGTCAAATGCAGCACTTGGCACATAGTAGGTGCTCAAAAAAAAAAGGGCACAGTGAATTACATAATTCAAATATTATAGTTAAAGCTTACAGAAATGAGCGAGGTACCTACCCTCCCACTCTGCTCCTCTTTGAATCAGCAGTTACAAGACTAAGAAAGAAAAGAGAAAAGAAAAACAAGCAAAGCTATGGTCGGACATTGTAGCTTGAGGTTCCTTGCCAGCGTAATCTGCCGTACTATTGTTCATTCAGGAATGGATTTCTTGGCTTGTCCATCCCCAGGTTTTTCTTACCTGCTTCTAGCTAATCTCTTTAGGGCTGTAAATCTTCTAGGTCCTCAGGAACTAGCACTATTCTCCATGGGAGGGATATTGGTTTTGCTTGGTCTGGAGGCCAAGGCTCATTTTTCTCAGGATGATCAAAAAGCATCTGTAAATATACACAAAAGGGGAGGTGAGCATGGCTAAACAGATTAAACATTAACAACACAAATGAACACTTGTGTTATCTAGGTTACTACATAAACCAGGATCTCTGAGAGCTCAGAAAAAAAAGAAAAAGAAAAACTTAGGACAGTTGCAAATGGTTTGGATATGATAGCAGAAATAGACCAATGTTGGATCAGAATACAAAATAAGAACATCCTAGAAAGATTTATCTTTCTAGATAAATTGCTGCTTAGGGATAGTTTAAAAAAAAAAGTTCATCACCAAAATGGACTCCAGATAGATTTTTCTAATGATTTATTTTTCATAGGATATTTATATCATGTGAAAGTTCAATCACATAACTGAAACATAAAGCTTACAAAGCTGTAATCTCCAGATTCAGAATTAAATACATTAAAAAATACATAAAGGCAAAAGTATTAGAAAAAAATCATCCAGGAAAGTGAAAAAAATAGATATTTAAATTTTTGTAATTTCATGTATATTCCAAAATGTGCATGTGTCACTTACTGAGGTAGGCAGAGAGTAAAGGTAAATAAGAAAAAAATAAGAAAATCACTAGAAATGTGAAAAACATTTGTAATACAGTAAAATCACCACAATGATTTTTAAAAAGCATAAAAGTAAGTAAAAGGCTGAGTTCAGTGGTAGAGTATCTGTCTGGCCTATGAAAAGCATTGTGTCTAATCCTAGTATAGCCCAAAAAATGGGATATGTGTGTGTAAAAAAAATTTTTTTTTGGTCAGTCGTGGGGCTTGAACTCTGAGCCTGGGTGCTGTCCCTCAACTCTTCAGCTCAAGGTGAGCGCTTTACCACTTGAGCTATAGTGCCACTTCCGGTTTTCTGAGTGGCTATTGGAGATAAGAGTTTCACGGACTTTCCTGCCCGGGCTGGCTTTGAACCGCGATCCTCAGATCTCAGCCTCCTAAGTAGCTAGGATTACAGACGTGAGCCACCGGCTCCCAGCTGTGTGTAAAATTTTTAAAAGCTGAAAATATATCTGTTTATCAGCTCTATTTTTTTGTGTGATGGAAAAACAATGACAAAAGAGCTGGACGTGACAGCTCAAGCCTGTAATCCCAGCTACTTAAGAGCAGAAATTGGGGACTGTAGTTTGAGGTAGTCCAGACAAAAAGATCTTAAAGCTCCTTCTCAACCAATGGTTGGGCACATTTGTCATCCCAGCAATGGAAGGAAGCACAAATAGGAAAATCAAAATCCTAGACAACCTGGGCCCAAAACGAGACTCCATGTTGAAAATAACTATTCCACAAAAGGATAGCCAAGTTGCTCAGGTAGTATAGCAGTTGTCTAAAGCAAGTACAGACCCTTGAGTTCAAACTCCAGAGAAGAGAATGTTTAACAGATTCAACTATAAATAAATTCTAACATCTATGAAATGAAAAATACCATGTGATTTTTAAAAAAGGAAATGAAGTATAAAAGGGTTCATGTTATAAAAGTTTCCCCCAAGTAAAGAAACAATCAACATGAATAGATAAATCACAAATTCAAAACTACAGTTTGCAAATATATAACATTAAGGTTAATTTAGAAAGAAACCCAAAAGGGCCAACATTATGCTGAAGGTTTATAGAATTTGCATCAGTCATCGGTCTTCAAAATGATGCCTTACTAGACAGATTATAATGAAATTGGGATACATTTGAAAAAGAGGTATAAGTTAGTTTAAACTTTCAAGAAGTATTCAAGCTGTAGAACTAAGAGCTCATAATTGTCAACCAAGCCACTACACTTTTAGGAAATAAGACTGAAAAATAAATAATAGAAAAAAGAAGATTACGTATTTCAGTTTCCTCACACATAAAATAATTCCCTTCCTTTCATAGTTGTGGTAAGGATTGATAGATGATTAATGAGTGAAGAATGTGAGTTCTATAAAGCAATATGCAAACAACAAAGGTTTTCATTTTAAATCTATTTGTAATAGTGAAAATCTGGAACTAAAGTTCTAGTAATAAACTATGTTACATTCACCTGAGACAATACAAATGCTTGTGTATATTTATATAGCAATGGTGAAGAAAAATACTTAAAATATATTAATAAAACCAGGCACTGGTGGCTCATGCCTATAATGCTAGCTACACATGAGGCTGAGATCTAAGGATCATGGTTTGAAGTCAGCCCAAGCAGGAAAGTCCATGAGACTCTTATCTTCAATTACCCACCAAAACCAGAAGTGGAGAATGCTAGCCTTGAGCAAAAATGCTAAAGGGCAGCACCCGGGCTCTGAGTTGAAGTCCCAGTATTGGCATCAAATATATGTATATATATATGTATGTATGTATACACACACACACATATATGTAATAATGAAAAAGCAAATTTGAAAGTTCTATCTGAGCACACAGATGTGACTATACATTATATATGACCTATTGGGAATATGTACATGATCAAGATAGTAAAACTATTGACCTGGTAAGATAAGAATCTTTCATCTTGGCTGGGTGCTAGTAGCTTAGGCCTCTAATTTTAGCTACTCAGGAGGATGAGATCTAAAGATCACAGTTAAAAGTCAGCTTAGGCACAAAAGTCCATGAGATTTTAATCTTCAATTAACCAGCAAAAAGCTGGAACAGGAAGTGGGACTCAAGTGGTAGTGCACCTGCTTTGAGCAAAACAGCCAAGTAAGAACACTAAGCCCAACAACAACAACAACAAAAACCGGCTCTGTTTATTCAATGTAGGGAAAAACTGGCATTGGGACATAGCTGTCTCTCTTTCAATGGCACAAGTTTCCTTTGTGGCTTCAGTATACATTGTAATATATACATTTATATTATTAATTGATTGCTGTCTGTCTCCTTCTACTGAAAAGAGGAATCCCATGAGTCAGCCCTCTTCATTTTTATGCCCACTACCTCTAGACACTAGGTGAATGTTGGACGCATTGTAGGCATTCCATAAGTATTTCTTGACTTAAGCAGTTCTATCATAGTTGTATAGTCTATACAATCTGTTGACTATAGGTCCATAGTTCTTTCAGTATAGTTAATGGTAAAGTCTTTGCTAGGTCCCTTCAAGAACACTAATGACAGTTATCTGACCTTGGGATGACACCTCTTGCTTATGGATGTTGATTTGCTACCATCTCTAACCCATGAGTTGATGGGCCATGAGATTTTTAAGTTTCACTCACTGATATCAGAAGAGTTCTTGTATCCTAGCTCTTTCCTCTTTCACGTCAACAGCATCTGCTTACAAAGTCTTGCCATCTAAGAAACTAAAAATCACTCCCACTCTTGATTTCCAAAAATGAACCAGCTGAAGCAAATGAGGTGCAAGTGTTGGTCTCTATCTGTCATTGGTGATGAGGGCCTTCCAAAAATAGTCACTGCTCCTGGTGATCTTCAGCCAGCTGCAGAAGTGATGACAGAACCCTCAACTCTGGGTGACAAACAAGCAATCAGGACAATAACAACAACCATTTACTTCATGCCAAGCACTGACCATAGCTTAGGGATCAAGAGCAGAAGAGAATAAGGAGAGTGATAGAGGCTGTGAGGTTGATTGGGATACATTTATACATGTATGGAAATGTCACAATGAAACCTACCTTGCATAACTAATGTAGGGTAATAATTTTTTTTTTTTTCAGAGGAGTATAAGCTTTAGAAACAGACTGATCTGGGCAGAGTCATACTGTGCTTTGTACCAATCCTGACCTTGACCTTGGTTATTCAATGCCCTGCTCCCCCCGCCCCAACACACACCCCCAGGACTCATTTAATTTACTGTAAAACGAGGATAATAGATCCTATTCATAGGACTATTTACAAAATGAAGCAAGATAATATACGGGAAAGGATTTCAACAGCGTCTATGCCAATTTACACATAGCAGGTCATTGACTTCTCCTCATCTCCTTCTCCAGATACCACAATTTACCCCCCTATTACAAATAGGGAAACTGAGGATTTAAGTAATTCCAGGGATACCCCCAAATATCCCAGGCTCTTTTATGCCTTTGTAGCAAGAGGGTAAAGTTCCTTCTACATTGGCTGTGTTCACATGAACCACAGCCACTTAGCCTCCACCACCAGTTCAAGGGACCCTCGACCCTCAAGCCTTCCTTGATCCCACTGAGATCAATGTGATTTCCCAGTGCCTGTTCTAGCCCCCCGCCTTCCTATTGGACATTTATCTGATTACAGATCTGTCTCAACTCTACTGAGACCTTGCTGGTCCCCTGCATCTAGCCAAGTTCTGACTCATAGCTAGGAAATGCTCAGTTATTTTTTTTAATGAAAGAACGAAGCAATGTCCTTCTCCCTCCTCACTTCAGTTGCTAAATCCCTTGCACCTATCCATTACAGTGGCTAGAATCCCCTTTATGGCTCAACCAAGGGGATATTCCCTTGATCTTTTGGATACACTGAATGTCAGGGAAATTATCACCTTCCTCGATCATCCATAGCAGGGCAAGCAGCTGTGCCTCTTAGAAAGAACTTAAATTGTAAGAAGATCATCTTTTCTGTAAAAGTAAACCCAATGGTTTAAGCTCTGCTGCCTGAAACCACATAGATTCAGATTGAAAGCTAATAACACACTACACACGCCACACTCAGGCTCAGTGTTAAGAACCCTATGTGGATCTGTTCATTTTTGCAGCAACCCTGCGCTCCACTCTTACTGTAATTATCTTCCCCATCACCTAGATATCCTCTTCATTCTTTGACTATGTTAGCCCCTTACTCGCTGTAATTTTCTCCCACCCATCACTGTTTCGTCATGGCCTTTAATGATACCCATCTTCACTTACAGGATATTCTATGTGCCTTAGCCTCAGAGCTCTACTGATTGTGGTCTTAGTCATTCATGTGCAGGGCCATCGCTCTAATTTTATTTCCAAAATATAATCATTTTCCATCATCTCGATTTCAGACACCCCTCTCCAGTCACCGCTCCTGTCTTTGGAACTTACTCCGATTAGTGTCTCAACTCCAACAGTTT